AACTGATTAAGAATGGAGACTTAATCTGAGTAACACATCTGGGACATGGGCCTTGCTGGGGGATCTTTAGGTCATCAGAGGATAGCCCTCGGAAAGCAGTACTTGGCAAGAGTTAGATACATAGGAAGATTATGTCTCTCTTTTCTTGATTCTCCATGTGATCATCTAGCTCTCAATGCATGCTCCACCACTGCCAGCTTCTATCAGACGCTAGTCTATTGAGGTGACCTGATGATCTCGGATCATGAACCTCCAAACCGTGAGCCAAAATAAGCCTTCTTTCTTCCTTTCATAGAGCTCCTCTCCAGTATTTTAGATAAAGTAATGAAAAGCTGACTAATTCACAGACCCTGGGAGGCAGCTGTGATAGCTCCACTATCTGGACTCTACTACCTATGTGGAGGCCCTGCCTTGAGTTCCCAGCACCTGGCTGTAGCCAGGCCTAGCCTCACCCATTGCAGACATTTCTAAAGTGAATCAGTGGATGCGAGCTCTCCTGCTGTCTTTCTGTCTCTCTCTCTCACTCTCACCTTCTGCCTCTTAAATTTTAAAAAAGAGTGAGAGAGAAATAAGAAGCAATGGTGAGAATGTGGAGATATTGGAACCTCATCCATTGTGGGCTGGAATGAATTTTTTACAACGGTATGGGTACTGTGGAAAATAGATTGGCAGTTCCTCAAAGAGTTAAGAGAATTGCCATATGATACAGCAATTCCAGTCCTAGATAAAATACTCCAAGGAATTGAAACAGATATTCAAATAAAAATTTACACATGAATGTTAATAGCATCATTTTCCACAATGGCTAAAAGACGGACCAACCAAATGCTCATCAACTGATGAATGGATAAACAAAACCTATTACATTAATACAACAGACTATCATTCAGCCATGAAAGGAGTGAAGTACTCATAGCTGAACACAACATGAATGAACTGTGAAAACATTATATGCCACGCGAAACAAGCTACGTACAAAAGGCCACATACTGGCCGGCACCCAGGTTCTAGTCCTGGTCGGGGCGCCTGATTCTGTCCTGGTTGCTCCTCTTCCAGTTCAGCTCTCTGCTGTGGCCTGGGAGTGCAGTGGAGGATGGTCCAAGTGCTTGGGCCCTGCACCCCATGGGAGACCAGGAGGAAGCACCTGGCTCCTGGCTTCGGATCAGCGCAGCGCACCTGCCGTGACGGCCATTTGGGGAGTGAACTAATGGAAGGAAGACCTTTCTCTGTCTCTCTCTCACTGTCCACTCTGCCTGTCCAAAAAAACCCAAACCAAACCAAACCAAACCAAACCAAAAAGGCCACATACTGTATAATTTCATTTATATTAATATCCAAAATGGCTGAATACATAGAAAGCAGGTCAGACACTGCAGAGTCTTATGGGAGGGGAAAATATAAAACAATTACTTGTTAAGTACAAGGTTTATGTTTGGGGTAATGAAAATATTCTGGAATGGTTGCACAACACTGTGAATGTACCAAAAGCTACAAAATTATATACTTCAAAATGGTGAATTTTGTTACACAAAATTTATACCTCGATAAAAGTAAAATTTTATTCCTCTTGTACATAAAACAGGACTTGAAAGAGGACTTCCATTTATTTATTTAAATTCAAGAGGCAGGGAGAGGATGGCGGGGACAGAAAGACAGAGCTCCCATTCACTGATTCACTTCCCAGTTGCCTGCAATGGCCAGGGCTGGGATGGGCCAAAGCTATGAAGTAGAAATCCAATCCAGGTGTTCCACACAGGAGGCATGAAACAAACCACACGAGCCACTGCCTGCTGCCTCCCAGGATGTGCATCGTAGAAGCTAGAACCAGGAGCTAAAGCCAGGGATCAAACCAAGGCACTATGGAATGCACGAGTCTTGACAGATATCTTAACCACTAAGCCAAATGCCCACTCAATAGAGACTGTTTTTATGTCCTTGAGCTTTTTTCCTTCTTAGGAGTGGAAATAACAGCAGCCAAAATGACATAATCTTTTATAATCTTCTCCACTTATGAAATAGATATCACTCTGTAGGTATCACCCTACTTTGAAGATAAAAAAAAATCAAGGCTCAGAGATATACAAAATCATATAGCTAGAAAATGGGAAAGTTGGCTAATCAAGTTAGATTGATCTATTTTGCAATGCCTCCAAGGAAAAACAGCTGCAATTTATGATAATTTTCAAAGAGGACAAGAAACGCCATTGTGTACAAACCTCTTAGGTAATTTTCTTCTACCAAAGTTATTACTTTAAAGCAATAAAAAATACTCATTTACACAGTAAACGTTTTAACAAGACCAATGTACATCATTATTGCATAACAGCGACATAAAAAAGAACAATACAGATTTCCTCTTCCTATTTTCTAAAGATACATGTTTGAGTTTCCCAGTGAAAGGTATGCCAAAGTGTTAGCATATTCTCTCACCAATGAAGTCTTGTGTGTTTACAGGGAGTGGTAGACAAGTTAACAGATGATTATGCTTGTTCCTCATACAAGTGGCCTTATTAAGTTACAGTCACATTTCCTATTAAGGATTAACTAGTGAATAACAAACACATCAGTGGTTTTCTAACAGTACTTTGATGAGTCCTACAGAGATTCCAATTGGGAAGCAGAGGGGTTGGGATTACAAATCCTTTTTATCAAGCAGAGCAGCCTCTTAACTGTTTTTCACTGCTTAAAGAAAAGATTCCACAATTAGGAGAGAAAGAGAGGGGCCGTGCTGTGGTGTAACCAATAAAGCCACTACCTCCAATGCTGGCATCCCAAATGGGCACCGGTTCAAGACCCAGCTGCTCCACTTTCAATCCAGCTCTCTGCTATGGCCTGGGAAAGCAGTAGAAGATGTTCAGGTCCTTGGGCCCTTGCACCTGCATGGAAGAACCAGAAGATGCTCCTGGCTCCTGGCTTTGGATCAGCGCAGCTCAAGCCACTGTAGTAAACTGAGGAGTGATCCAGCGGATGGAAGAACTCTCTCTCTCTTTGCCTCTTCTTCTCTCTCTGTATAACTGATTTTCAAATAAATAAATAAATCTTAAAAAAAGGGGGGGGGGAGGTAGAGGAAAAGAAAAAGATATCCCATACATATTTTACATTTTCAGCTGTGCCATATGTTGCCTCTGGATAGTTTTCATCAAAGGAATCAAGGCACCATTTGCAGCATGGGAGGAAGAGAGGCTGATCTTTGCCACTGAGCTGGCAACACTTCTGAACAGTGCTGCCCTCCAATTAGTTCAAGTGAAGGAGTGTTCTACAAGTAGGAACCTTGGTGCCTTCAGGTCACAGTGTGTGGAAGGCCCTGTGACACCAAGGCTTTTTGCACTAGATACCATCTAGTAGGCTAGGCTGCTGGGGGTGGGCTTAGTGTCTCACACTTGACCATTGAGATGAGCCTGTTTCTCAGTTCGTGCCTACTTTAAATTGTGCCTACTCTATAAAATGAAGATTACCAATATGGCTTACTTGAGCCTGCAAAAATAAGAAAACTCATAACCCAAGTGCAAAGTGAGAGCCCCATGGCATTTCTCTGCTTGTGTTTAGAAATACTACACACTGGGGGCAGGTACTGTGGCGCAGCGGGTTAATGTCCTGGCCTACAGTGCTGGAATCCCATATGGGCGCCAGTTTGAGTCCCAGCTGCTGCACTTCCAATCCAGCTCCCTGTTAATGTGCCTGGGAAAGCAGCTAAAGATGGCAGCTGAGAGGTCTTCCATCTGCTGGTTCACTCCCCAGTTGGCCGCAACGGCTAGAGCTGTGCCGATCCGGAGCCTGGAGCCAGGAGCCAGGAGCCAGGAGCATCTTCTGGTTCTCCCACATGGATGCAGGGCCCCAAGGACTTGAGCCATCTTCCACTGCTTTCCCAGGCCATAGCAGAGAGCTGGATCAGAAGTGGAGCAGGCGGAGCTCAAACCGGTGCCTAAATGGGATGCCAACACTGCAGGCACAGCTTTACCCGCTACACCACAGTGACATCATCCAGGTTATCTTTTTCTATATATATATATATATATATATGTATGTATGTATATCTATATATACACACACATATATTATTGATTTGAAAGGCAGAGTGACAAGGACCAAGAAGGAGACACACACATACACTCAGAGAGAGAGAGAGAGAGAGAGAGAGAATATCTTGCCTCCACTGGTTCACTCTCCAGATAGACACAACAGCCCACAACTGGGCCAGGTTGGAGCCAGGAATTCAACTCAGGACTCTCATGCAGGTGGCAGGGATACAAGTACTTGAGCCAACATCTGCTGCCTTCCCAGGCACATTAACAGGAAGCTGGATAAGAAGCCAGAGCAGCTAAGACTTGAACCAGCACTCTGATATAGGATTCCAGTGTTGCAGGCAGCAGCTTAATCCACTGAATCATAAAACCTGCCCCTATTCTCAATTTCTTTGTGTTTTATATCAAAAAGGAGCCTTCTGTGAATAGCATATCAAAGAAACATTGGTTTTAAAATCCAATCTACCAATTTCTGCCTTTTAATAGAATTTAACACATTTAAAGTACTAATAAGGAAAATTTTACTTCTGCCACTTACCTATTTTATGTATGTCATATTTTTCCTTCATTTCCTCCATTAATTTTTTTTATTTAGATTAACAGAATCTAAATCCTACTTGTAAGATTCACTATATGCTGTTTTTTTCCCAATCCAGTAATCTTCCATTCTTCCACTTAATAGTTTCTGATGAACATCTATTTCATTAGTATGTCCCACGAAGTCTAAAGGGAGGATCTACCTTTTCTGACCAGGAAAAGTATCTCATGGTCTATCCTTGTTTTTACCCTCTGAATCACTTGCCCCTTAGACACATATACACACACACACAATTCACCATTCATACATAAAGTTCATTGTTATCATCTTTCTTTGCCAACATGTGGCCTGGTTTGGCTGTGCCATAGAATACTTGAGAAGGGTCTTGTGATGACCTCTGTGATGACAGACAAAAAAGAATGAGAAGCAAAGTGGCTTACGTTGTAGGAGCGCGGATGCCTCTGCTTCCACTGCACCAGGAGCAGCTGGGCCACCACCAAGGTAGCAATAAGGATAAGGACCATTTCTGCGTGCATGGCTTCATGGCCGCGATGCTTGGCATGCATGCGTGCATGTTCAACCCTGAAAGCCAAACAGATGGGGTAAGCCAAGTCAGGGATGGTGTAGCTGTACAGTGGCAGTGCTTTCCAGGGATATCCCACCAGTCCCTAGCTCAGAAAACTCTCCTGTGCCTCACTGCTGCAGTGTACCATGCAAATCGGGGGCTAAAAGGACACATGCTCTAGACAACAGTGCTTGGGGGATAGAAGAGAGGCTCCACGGGCCCCAGCAATCAAGCCCAACTATTCAGATTGCAGGTAGATCTGCTGCCTGCACCCCATGGCTTACAGCTGACATTCTTACAGGAGAAGTTTGCATCAGTGTCCATTTCAGGAGTTATTTCACTTTGTCACTAGCAGAAAAGTCACCCAGAGAAGTTATAGTCATAATACCTCAGACTCTTAGTCAATGACAGCAAGTGTGTACTGATACCACTATAAAAATCTTATTTTATTTACCCTACCGTCTTTGCCTGGGCCAGGGATGCTTAAGACTAGTTAAAAGCTGAAAAATCTGCTTCGACTTTATTCTAATCCAACAGTGATTTCACCATCAGTATTCACAGGTAAACAGCTTTCTCAAGGAAGTTCAGTAATTAGAGAGTACTGCTTAAGATTTTTTTTCTTAATGTGAGGCTAGCCTTCTTCAATCCTTTTTTAAGACTTTATCTACTTATTTGAATGGTAGAATCACACACAGAGAGAGGGAGATAGAGATAGAGAGAGAGAGAGAGAGAGAGAGAGAGAGAGACAAACTTCCATCCACTGGCTCAGTCTCCAAATGGCTGCAACAGCTGAGGCTACTCCAGCTCAAGCCAGGAGCCCAGAGCTCCACTCAGGTCTCCTATAAGGGAACAGGGAGCCAAGAACCTGGGCCACCCTCCGCTGCTTTCCCAGGCACACTAGCAAGGAACTGGATCACAAGTAGAGCATCAGGACTTGAACTGGCACCCAGATAGAATTGAAGATGGCAGCTTAACTCCTATGCCACAACACTGGCCCCTTCTTTGGTCTTAAGAATCGGCACAAGTGACTCTCTGAGTCAATACTGGCAAAATTACCTCTAAAAATAACCACCCCTACCACTCTGAGTAAGAGGCAGCCAAGACAGAAGAATGAGGAAGGAGTTAGAAAACTGGATTATGTAGTTTGCAGAAAGAAGTGTTCATACAACTTCTCCATGCATCAGGGTATTAGGGAAGAAGGTATTAGGGAAGAAAGGGCAACACTCATGATGTCTTCATTCAACTCCCAAGGGCAATGAAACACTAACAGCAAAAATAACCCAGTGGGATGAATTACAGATAAATAGTAATGCAAATATAGCAAAAATTTAACTGTAGAATCTAGGTGGTGGGTATAAGGGTATTCACTATACAATTATATTAACTTTTCTATAAGTTTAAAATTTTTCATAATAAAATGTCAGGGGAGAAAACTTGATGGGCAGTGTCACCAGCCAAATGCTAGTCAATGAATCAGCTTCAGCACCTAAGGGTTTGTCTTACATAAAACTATACCTTGGGGGGCCAGCACTGTGGCGTAGCGGGTAAAGCCACAACCTGCAGTGTCAGCATCCCTTATGGCGACAATTCAAGTCCTGTTTCCTCCACTTCCAATCCAGCTCCCCACTAATGTGCCTGGGAAAGTAGAAGATGGTCCAAGTCCTTGGGCCTCTGCACCCATGGGGGAGACCCAGAAGTTCCTGGCTCCTGGCTTCAGACTGATCGAGCTTCAGCTGTTGTAACCATCTGGGGAGTGAACCAGCGGATGGAAGATATCTCTCTCTCTCTCTCTGCCTTTCAAATAAATCAATCTTAAAGAAAAAAAAGCCTCTACCTTGGGAGGAAGAATATGACAAAGAGAACAGGATGGGGAGTCAGAAACTTAGGTTCAGACCCACCTTTGAGGCCTTGACCAAGAAACCTTATATCTTTACATTACGATTTCTTCATCATCAAAGGGAATCACTATCTCTTCTGTCTGCTTCATAGGGTTGTGAGGACAGGCTAAGCTGAGAGGGTAAAGAACATTTTAAATATGTAAGGATTGTAGGAAAGCATAAAAATAACAAGAAAAAAGCTCCATGTTCTCAGACACTATATAATTGAATGGATGTGTACAACATGAAATCAAAGAAGAGATCAAAAACAGATCAGAGAACTCCCCAGTTTAAGTTCTCATTCAATGCAAAAACTGTTTTTGCAATCTTTACTTCAAATGGCTAAAAACATATGCCTTTTCTTTTTCTTTTTAAAGATTTTAAATATTTATTTGAGAGGCAGAGTCAGAGAAATATCCTCCATCTGCTGGTTCACTCCCCAAATGGCCATAACTACCAGAGCTGGGTCGATCCGAAGACATGAGCCAGGAGCTTCTTCCGGGTCTTCCACATGGATACAGTGGCCCAAGGACTTGGGCCATCTTCCACTAATATTCCAGGCCATAGCAGAGAGCTGGATTGGAAGAAGAGTAGCCGGGACATGAACCGGTACTCATATGGGATGTTAGTGTCACAGGCAGAGACCTAGCTCACTAATGCCACAGCACAGGCCCCAACATATGCCTTTTTTTTTCTTTTTTTTTTTCTTTTTTGACAGGCAGAGTGGACAGTGAGAGAGAGAGACAGAGAGAAAGGTCTTCCTTTTGCCATTGGTTCACCCTCCAATGGCCGGCGCACCACGCTGATCCGATGGCAGGAGCCAGGTACTTATTCTGGTCTCCCATGGGGTACAGGGCCCAAGTACTTGGGCCATCCTCCACTGCACTTCCCTGGCCACAGCAGAGAGCTGGCCTGGAAGAGGGGCAACCGGGACAGAATCCGGCACCCCGACCGGGACTAGAACCTGGTGTGCCGGCGCTGCAAGGTGGAGGATTAGCCTAGTGAGCTGTGGCGCCGGCCCCAACATATGCCTTTTAAGATAATCTATTCTAGACCCAGCAGTGTTTAGCACATTGTAGATATTCATATTTGCTAATAAATGAATAAAATTCTAATGCTTTAGGGGCAGAAAGCTCACTACCTGTCAATATACCTTGATTATTAAATATATTCCCTTTTTAAAAGATTTATTCATTTGAAAGTCAGAGTCACAGAGAGAGGTAAAAACAGAGAAAAAGAGATCTTCCATCCACTGATTCACTCCCCAGATGGCCACAACGGCCAGGGCTGGACAAAGCAGAGGCCAAGAGCTTCATCGGGGTTTCTCATGTGGGTGGCAGGAGCCCAACTACTAGGGTCATCTTCTGCGGCTTTTCCCAGACCATTAGCAGGGAGCTGGATTCTAACAATCTAACAATTCTAGATCCTTTAACCACTGTTAATACATCATGATATAAAGACTATTAACCCTGTTTGCCTTCTAGACATGATCCAGTTAAAGATCCTCTGTATATACAGTGCTTAAAATCTCAAAATCTTGGCAAGTGGCCTAAGCAAAACAGACAGAAGCTTTCATACAATTGTCACCTCCTTAAAGCAGAGAACAAATTACTACAAATATCTTCCCAATTATTTAGAGTATTTTGATAGCTGAGCTATATAACTGAAGCATCTTGAGCTTAAAGTCCTATAACATCTCACTAGGTATGTCAAATGAATTGCTATCTTTGCCATTCCGTATTTTTATAATCAATATTTTAATCTAAATAAAGGGTTTTTCCTCACGACTAAATGTTACTAGGCTGATTCAGCTAACCGGCCAGTCATTTTGTGAAGTTTGTAGGGCAGGTGCTCTGAAACCCTTTTACTGAGGAGAAATCATGAAAATAAGATATTTGTTGACTCATTCTGGTTACAAAACAAGTTCGAAGCAAAGCTGAAATCAGAAGACACATTTCCCATGTTCTCAACCAACGGTCTCTATTGTGTCACAGCTAATGATAATGATGTTATTGATGATAATCATCAGCCGGCGCTGCGGCTCAATAAGCTAATCCTCCGCCTAGCAGCGCCTGCACCCTGGGTTCTAGTCCCGGTCGGGGCACCGGATTCTGTCCCAGTTGCCCCTCTTCCAGGCCAGCTCTCTACTGTGGCCCGGGAGTGCAGTGGAGGATGGCCCAAGTACTTGGGCCCTGCACCCCATGGGAGACCAAGATAAGCACCTGGCTCCTGCCATCGGATCAGCGCGGTGCGCCGGCCGCGGCGGCCATTGGAGGGTGAACCAACAGCAAAGGAAGACCTTTCTCTCTGTCTGTCTCTCTCACTGTCCACTCTGCCTAAAAAAAAAAAAAAAAAAAAAAAAAAAGATGATAATCATCTTCAAAACAGATAACACTTACTGGAAACTTACCACATGCCAGGCACTGTTCTAAGACTTTCATCTATTAATTCTCACAATCCTATGAGCTATCAATATTGCTATGATCCTTACTTTACAAATATGGTAAATTTAGGCAGTGACAAGTAATTTGCCCAAGATCACATGCCTACTAAAAGCATGAATGTTTTCAAATCCAGCTGGATGTTTGGTGTGATTATCTACCTAGTCCCCTGGACAAAGTGAACTATCCACAACTGACCTAGGTGCTCAGAAAGATCCTAAAAGACCTGTCCTGCTGATCTCGAGCCACTGCCTCCCAGACAGAAACAGGTAGATAAACAACTTTATTACTTGAGTTAGCTACAGTTCCCAGCCTGTGGGGCCCACACTGCCACACTTACCTCCATTGCTCCTCTGGGGAAAGGTCTGACATATCAACCTGTAGAAAGACACCACCAGAGAAATCCATTACTGTCTTAGAACTGTCCCTGCCAAATATGAACTGCAAACACATTCATCAATATCTTTAAGGAACTAAGGGAGGCTTCAAGTTTTATATTATAGTCTTTAGGAAGTCTTTCCCAACACATCACTCCATCTTTCCCTTCTCTACCCCCTTACTTGGCCCATATCTATGACTGTGCTAAGCAATGAGGTCAGAAGAGTGAAAGAGTCCTAACTCACAAGATGTTTACAGCTTAGTGAAGACAGACATATAAACAGAAAATTCTTTTCCTTTGTTTTTTTAAGGCTCATTTTATTTATTTGAAAGGCAGAGTTAGAGTTAGAAAGAGAGAGAGAGACAGAGAAGTTGTCCGTCCACTAGTTTACTCTCCAAATGGCCACAATGGTCAGGGCTATGCCAGGCCAAAGCCAGGAGTCAGGAGCTTCATCTGGGTCTCCCACATGGGTCTAGAGGCCCAAGACTTGGGATGTTCTTTGCTGCTTTCCCAGGTGCATTAGCAGGGAGCTGGACTGGAAGTGGAGCAGCCAGGACTCGAACCAACACCCACACCACAATGCAATGCTGGCCTCAGAAAATTTATTATATGATAAAGATTAACTCTGGAAGAATAGAGAAGTAGCTTTTAATCCAATCTGGAGTGTTACAGATCAGGGAAGGCTTCCTGAAAGAGGTGTTAAATATTATTCAGATGAAGACATGAGAGAAATATGGGATCAGCATTTGGTACAGCAATTAAGACACTGCCTGGGACACCCACATCCCATTGTGAGTGCCTGGTTCAGCCCTGAAAGCATTTGGGGAAAGAACTAGCAAATGAATGATTGCTCTCCATCTCTTTCAAATAAAAAAGTTACATTAAAATTTGAAAACTAAAAGCTTCTTATTAAAAACAAAAAAGGAAATACACTTGTGACAAAGGGACTAACTGGACATAAAGAAATAGTTGACAGCACACAAACAATTGAATATGACTAGGTTAGATAGCATGAATCAGGATTAGGAGGAGACGAAACCAGATAAAATATTCTGTCATACAATGCCATCTGACCACGGCCCCATGGTAACAAGCAGGACAAACTGGTGCAATATGAGCTTTAGACTCTGCTCTGCGGTTAACTAAAGGCATGGCCTTCCAGCCTCACAATTCTGTTTCTAATTGGGGGTTTTGTCTTTTTGGAGTAGGGTTTTTCAGCCTTGGCACTACTGATATTCTGGGGTGGTTAATTCTTCATTTTGGGTGGACTACAAATAGCTTCCTTCAGTTGCAATTGGAATGTCTACAGAGACTATTAAACGTCCTCCAAGGAACAAAAATTGCCCCAGTTGAAAAACTACTGCTCTAGAATAATAGTAAATTCCTTGGGTTCAGAGCTCAACTCTTATTAATTCCTGTGGCCATACAGAAGCATACCCACTCTCAGTACATATATGTCACTCAATAACTTTCTCATAGTGAATTGAACTGAATATGTTTCTTGATCTAGAGAAGACAGACAAGGCCATAGAAACACTCAAACCAATCGATCAACTATTCCTTTATAGGGCCGGCACTGTGGTATAGTGGGTAAAGCCACCGCCTGCAGTGCCGGCATCCCACATGAGCACTGGTTCAAATCCTGGCTGCTTCACTTCCGATCCAGCTCTCTGCTATGACCTGAGAAAGCAGTGGAAGATGGCCCAAGTCCTTGGCTTGGGAAGACCTAGAGGAGGCTCCTGGGTCCTGGCTTCAGATCGGCACAGCTCTGGCTGTTGCAGCCAATTGGAGAGTGAATCAGCAGATGGAAGACCTCCCTTTCTGTCTCTCCTTCTCTCTTTGTGTAACTCTGATTTTCAAATAAATAAATAAATCTTTAAAAAATATATTCCTTGGCCGGCGCCACGGCTCACTTGGCTAATCCTCCGCCTGCGGCGCCGGCACCCCAGGTTCTACTTCCGGTTGGGGCACTGGATTCTGTCCCGGTTGCTCCTCTTCCAGTCCAGCTCTCTGCTGTGGCCCAGGAAGGCAGTGGAGGATGGCCCAAGTACTTGGGCCCTGCACCCACATGGGAGACCAGGAGGAAGCACCTGGCTCCTGGCTTCGGATCTACGCAGCTCTGGCCATGACGGCCATTTTGGGAGTAAACCAATGGAAGGAAGACCTTTCTCTCTGTCTGTCTCTCACTGTCTAACTCTGCTTGTCAAAAAAAATAAAGAAAGAAAGAAAAAAATATATTCCTTTAGACAAGGGTAGGGAACACATAAGGTCCCATGAAATCATCTTGTCTGACCCTGCCAAGGCAACTGCAGGTGGGACTCAAAGTTCAATAAACGTATAGCAGGCTCATTTTTAAGTTGATAATTTTGTATGGTCCATGAAATGATGTTATAAATATACAAATGGTCATTGGCAAAAAAAAAAAAAAAAAAAAGGTTCCACAGCCCCACTATTCAAGGCCAGGTTTCCCACTGTTCCAGTAACTCCAGAAAACTGAAATGAAACAAGCAGAACTCCTTCTACCACCAAGTCAAATCAGCACGTATTTCCCAGGCATCCTCTCAGTATGTATACTGGGAATGCTCATCACTATTTAAGGAGGGCTTTCTGACTTCTGTATGTCCCAGCTAAGTTTAAAAAAAAAAAAAAAAACACTTTTTCCCCCAAGGCTGTGTTTGTCCAACCAATCTCAAGGTAATGAAGTCAGACGCCCTCCTTCCTTTCCCTGAGCCACTCACTGCCATAATGAATTTATTCAGGAGCCCTAAATCAGTCCTTCAACTTCCCAAAAAGAATAGAGATTCCAATACTCTGAAAGGGGAGAAACAGATGACACAAATGGAAAGGTTCAGTTGGGAGGGTCCTGAGCAGACAATCAAGGACCACATCCTAAAGGAATGCACAATTTTCATGCTGCTTATCAAAAGTCTCTTCTTTTCCAATTTGGACCTACATCATGCCAAGTTCATCTGTTCACTGTTCCAAAACACATGGAATTGATCGCTGTCCCTGGCTTTTGTATGCTCTTCCTTCTACTTACAGCGCCTTCCCCTCTCTTTCTCCTATCCAAATCCTAGTTGTCCTTTGAGAAAACAGCTCAATTTCACTTTCCTGGAGAAGGCTTTCCTGATCCCCTAGCAGTGAAGTCAGCCCTCTGCTTTTCTCCAGAATGGATCAAAATGTGGCTCAAGGATTAGCAGCTCAGCACCATGCTGGTGCTCACTACATTCCAGATCTACTGAACTACAATCTACTTTTACTTTTTTTTAAAGATTTATTTTACTTATTTGAAAGGCAGAGTTACAGATAGAGAGAGGGAGAGACAAAGAGAAGTCTTCCATTCACTAGTTCACTCCCCAAACAGCCGAAGCCAGGAGCTTCCTCCTGGTCTCCCATGTGGGTTCAGGGGCCCAAGGACTTGGGCCATCCTCTGTTGCTTTCCCAAGCACGTTAGCAGGGAGCTGGACATGGAATGCTGGCATTGCAGGCAGCCAGCTTAACCCGTAACACTATAGGCCCCCACAATCTACCTCTTACTAAGACCTTCAGGTGTTTGGCATGCACATTAAATTTTAGAAGCACTGATCTATACCACTCATTCATAGTCTTATGTTATCTTAGACATGCTTTCCAATAACACTGCTTCTTCTTCCTTTTATTTGAAAGGCAGAATACAGAAAGAGAAGGAAGGAGACAAAGAACCACTCACTGGTTCACTCCTCAAATGGCTGCTAAAGCTGGGACTGGGCCAGGCCAAAGCCAGGAGCTTCCTCTGGGTCTCCCATGTGGGTGTAAGGGCTCAAACACCTGGGCCATCCTCCACTGCCTCCCAGGCACATCAGCAGGGAGGTGGATTGGAACTGGAGCAGCTGGAATTTGAACCAGCACCCATACAGGATTGCAGGTACTGTAGGCAGAGGCCTAACTCTCCAAGTCACAGTGCTGGCCCAGGAAACTGCTTCTTAAGTTCAGGGCAGGACAAGCAAGGGACCTAGAGCTCAAAATTTAAAGTGGCATCCACTCTCAGTACTGATCCTGCACTTGCACAACCTTGAGAATAAGTGTACTTCCTTAAAGATTGCACTCTCACAACTTATTTATCTCACCCTAGTCTTAGCCCTGCCTTTTCTGCTCCCATCCCATAAACCTAGAATCTCCCTCAGAACCAAGAAATACCTTACACTGCTTTTGTAGCCTCCAAGGAGAACAGCACAGATATGAGTGTTTATAAAGCACTCAATGATTACTTGTGGAACTGAGCAGAATTCTCTCCAAAAACAAAAGCAAGTATGCTGAGGGCTGGCATCACGTCACAGAGGGTTAGGTTAAGCTGCCACTTACAATACCAGCATCCCACAACTGGAGCAACGCTTTGAGTCCTGGTTGCTGTACTTCTGATCTAGCTCCCTGAAAATGTACCTGGGAAGTAGCAGCCGATTAATCAGGTACTTGAGTCCCTGTTACCCAAGTAGGAAACCCTAATGGTGTTCCTGGACCCTGGCTTCCAGCTAGCCCAGGCCCAGCTCTTGCAGACATTTGGGGAATGAACCAGGGAATGAAAGATATTTCTGTCACTCTGCCTTTCAAACAAATAAAATAAGTTTTTTTTTTTTAAAGTATCCTAACAAACCAGTGTCCACCTGGAGATGTTTAAATTGGAGAGTAAACAAACAGTGGAAAAATAACTAATGAGCATCTGGGAAAGAAGGATTCATTTCACACTGGGGAGTATCCAGAGAAATTATGTTTAAAACTACCTAACAAAACAAGTACATTTTGGGGCTGGCACCGTGGCTCACTTGGTTAATCCTCCGCCTGCGGCCCCAGCATCCCATATGGGCACCAGTTCTAGTCCTGGTTGCTCCTCTTCTAGTCCAGCTCTCTGCTGTGGCCCAGGAGGGCAGTGGAGGATGGCCCGAGTGCCTGGGCCCCTGCACCTGCATGGGAGACCAGGGAGAGGCACCTGGCTCCTGGCTTCAGATCAGAGCAGTGCCGGCTG